ACATAACTTTTATTTTGTATTAGAGTAAATTAGGGAAATTGTTTTCGAAAAACAGGAAATTTTTTTAAAAATTTTAATTTCTTTAGGGAAATTTCTGGATTTTTAAGCAGTTCTAAGGAAATTTTCGGATAAATTCCGGAATTGGGGAAATTTCTTTAATAAATTTTTGTAAAGTTCGTGAAAGTTTTTTAAACCCTAACGCTAGAAATTGTCGAATGTTTATAAACAAGGGAATTTTCCGAGAATTTGGGGAAATTTTCGAGATGTTTGACAAAATTGCGAAGATTTCCATATTTACAAATCGGGATATTTTTAAGGCTGTTTGGGAAAATTTCGGGAATAGAATACGCCTAAAATTGTAGTTGAGGGAATTTTCGAAAAATTGGGAAAATATTTAATACTTTGGAAAAATGAAAGAATTATTCACAAATAATTGAAGGAATTTTTTCAATTTTATGGGATTAGTTACGCAAATTTGCTTGTTTTAGTTCAAAGGATAGGATGGAAAACAGTACTCTGCACAACTATTTCTTTGCTCGCGAGTATCCCAGAAGCTGGTATGACCTTCACTTTTTTGCCTCCCGTTTTTTTCGTCGCTCCCTCTCTTGGTTTCAAGATATCGATGGGGATTAAACACGAAAATCTACATTTTTCATTCTTGGATCCACCCAATAATCTCATAATTACATGGATTTAAACGAGTATTAAAAAAAACGTGGAGCGGTTACTCCGACGCGGATGTTTTTATCTCATTTCTGACGTCATCCCGTCCATGGCGGAAAAGCAACAAGTGGTTTGACCTCTGACCAGGCGGCGTCTGTCTGCAGACGGCAGTCTGACTGGGATCTGATGCCCGGGATCACTAGAAACTCGATAGGCGGCTTGCCGGGGATATTAAAAATGGGGGGAGAAGAAGGGCGGATATCTGATGGAACTCGCGCCACAAGGTTATGCTGACGTCACGGCAGTACACACAATCGACATCTCACACAGACCCGTCGTTCTGTACGACATTTACTAAGCTCATTATTGGCACGGGTTTAGTGTTTCTCGGTTACTAGCCCGTCTCCGGTTGTGTTTTACTCCACCCTCTTCCCCGCACGTGGTGGGGGTTGAGGGTTCGCGTGATTTGTACCCTTTTGAAGTGCTCGGTGATTTATTGGTGGCCGTCTTATACGAGTAACTGGCATACGACGACAGCGGCACCTGTCAACGGAGCGGCCAAGGTGAACGTTCTCTAAATAAATTAAAAGGGCGCCTCGTTCTCCCCTTCTGACGGGCGCCCCTCCCCCAAAGCGGCTCAATTAAATCTGGCTGTTTACAATTAACATGGATATTTACATGAAATCTGTTTACTCGGAGTATAAACAGACGGATCAAAAGTGGTCTCACATGTTATTTCAATGGGTTTATCTCTAGGAATGACGAGAATTTGACAAACTTCGATAGGGCCATGTGTTACGCTTGCTATCATTACAGCAATAATTGTCACGCACGTGAGCATATGTTTACACCTCACCCTTGTTTCTCTGTTCTGATTAGTCACCGTTTCGTAGTCGAAACGTTGATATAATTCGGTGCCCCCATGCTTAATTTGTTTAGAATTCTTAGTGGTTCATGAAAACGAATTGTTCCCCACGTGTTGAAACTATCGCAGCGTGTAGCACCTATCACGTTTTGGTATTGACGCCCATCAACAAAAATTATGTAATGAAAGTCTTGTAATGAACACGAAACAGTTGAATCGAAGTCCTCATACAGAAAAATCCGTATAAGAGCGCTTTGGAAAGGGGGTCCCCCTTGTAAGAGCACTCTCCATTGCATACCTTTGGTGCCTTAAGAGGTATTAATCCCGGATACCACCACCTTTTACGATCAGGTAGATTGGAGGAGAAAAAAAAATCCCGTCCGGAAACTGTAGCACACGAGAATACCAGCATAAGTGAGGTAATTAATGGTTACCTCTTGGTGTATTTTAAAGGGTACTAGGACGATAATAAGTAGCCAGTGATACGTATTCAGCGTGAGTACTACCTGTCACTGAAATGAGGAAAATTATGGACAATTTCCTCACAGCGGGACCACTGGTCATGTTGGGAGATCCGGGTTAAACTTTCGGGACAATGTCCTCACGAGGGGCTTAGTTCTCCATCCGTCGTTACGTGTTATTCGGATATACTGTATCTTTAATCGTTTCGTCACCTTTAAGTATTTTTCATCTTCAAAAAAATACCCGAGTTCAAGGTCTCTCTTTAAGTCCCATTGACCTCGGATTGGATCACTTATCTGGAGCAGTAAAGACACCCTCGTAAAAAATTTTATGGTGTTGTTTTAAATCTTTATTGTTTACAGCGTAATTCACAGGTTTCAAGCTTTTAAGTGGATCATCCGGATTTTTTTCCGACACGTCCCAAAAAATGCTCCTCGACATCCCAAGAAGAAATTCGAATGTACGACTCCAATTCCCTTACGAAAAGAGGAGGGAAAAAACAAGCCGGAATGACGTCACGGGATCCACCCCCGAAAGGAGCCGTTCGGACAAAACTGGTTTTCACAATGGTCCTCCAGACGTAGAGGAAATCTGAGATCATTGTGAAAGCTGATTTTGTTGCAAATGGCGACAATGTGGCGTAATACCCGACGACACCCCAAACGAGGCGCCGACTCTACCCATACGGAAGTAAAGCGGGCACCACCGGAAGCTGCACCGTCACCACCGTCTGACGTCAGAGGTTCTTGTTTATGTTTTGCACCCTTTTTTTTTCTTTTTTCGTCTTCTTGATCATAGTTTGGCAGTGGGTGCTTTGAAAGGCACGCTTTCGTTTAGGATTACAGAAGACAGTTTATTGTCGCCTGTTCTGTCAGGATTTCTTCTACCCCTACAGTGTTTTTTTTATTTATTTATTTTCTCCCTTTCTTTATTATTCATCTAAATCCCTCTGGTTTGTTTTTCGTTTGACGTTGGGCAGAAATTTTTTGGGGTAAGTGCGTGGTATCATTGGAATTTTACACTTTTTTATGAACACTATTACACTGTTTTAAAATTATTCATAATTTTTAATTATTTATTTATCTATTTCAGAAAACCGCCTTATCAAAAGACGTGTTCTATGGATTCATTTAACCTCTCCAGAGCCAAAATTCCTCAACATAAATTATCCTACCGAAAATGGTGACAGAAAGGCATTGCTTCCAGCTATTGGGATAAGCAGCATACAAAAGAATACGAGATAATTTATAACCACAGGGGGAAAACCTCCATAATTCAGTGGGTAACAAATAAACACCACTAAATAAATAAAATTTTGGTAAAAGTAAATAAACACAAAACGAGGGATTCTCTCAAACCAGATTTTTTTGTTGTGGCCCCATAATTTCTTCGTTTCCTCCTTCCCTCGTTATTAATAAAAAGAAAGAAAGAGGGTGGTATAATTTCCACATGTTGAATTTATTAACAGATAAGAGATTTAGCTGATTTATTTATTTATTTATTTAATTTATCTCTTATCTCCAGGCTTTTCTTACTTTTAAAACTTTTAAAAACATTTAAACAATACTTATACCCTGTCATAAATGGGGAAATATCAGGTTTAATATATAATTATGTACGATGTTAAAAATATAGGGGTTAAATTAATAAAAATAGATATTATAATCACCTGGTGTTGTAGTTTCATATGCATTTATATAGATTTATTCCATAATTTTAATATTATTTTATACGTGTATATACAGGCTCACCTAAACGTATATGATTCTTACACTAGTGTATTTATTGTCTATATACGTTTATACGTATATATTATTGTAAGGAGCACACGTATAAGGCTCAAGTAAATTGTTAGCCTTATATATAAACGACTGTTTAGTTTTAGACTGTCCTTAAGCTATGAGACACAAGAGATCCTTCCCCAATACCAAATAATAATGAATTTAAAACGTAAGGCCCTACCTTGTGCTTGTTTAGCTTATTTGTAAATCTGATCTGTGTATACGTAAGACTCATATACATAAATATAAATCTTATATATGTATTTTTTTACCGTAACATTCTACTACATAATTTTAATATGTAGCTTTTTCTTTCATTCAAGTTTAGATTTTTGCCTTTATTTGAAGATTTACTTTAAATCGAAGTATAAATTTGAGAATTAAAACACTTTTAAAGCAACAAAACGTCATTTTAATAGTACAGTTTATTAGACATAGGCCTATTTATTTTTACTTAAAGATGTTTAAGGGTTTTCCTCGTTGCTGATAATTCTGGAGTAGAAAAAAACTGTCTAGAATTAAAGAACACAGTGTTTCCTTTAGACAAATTAATGTTATTTTTAATCAATTGATAAAAACCTGGTATTGAATTCTCTACATATTTATGATATAGTCGAAAATTTGGGTTTATGGAACACAATACTAGTTTAATGTTCCTATTTCGTGAGGGACGATCTACATAACTTATCAATATATTGTTTTCTAATGCAAGTCTGCTAAAAGTTTTTTTGCTTTTATTTCAAAAAAAGATTATCTTAAATTGCAATTTTCACGAATTTAACTTAAGAGGAAATTTTCGCGTGCAAGTCTCAAATGCTTCCTGAAATTCCTACTTTGCAATATCCAGGGCATTCAGGATTTTGCGTGTAGTCTCGTAAAACGTTATAAATTTTTAAAAATTCTGGATTTTTGTGTTTTTACAATTTAGTTCTTCGCGCAAAGAAGTTTTTTAGAAGTTTAAAATGTGTAGTTTCATGTACGCAACGTGCATGGGTACCTGCTGGAATTGTACCTTGTAATTACGAGTTATGATCCAGATTTGAGTTTGAATCCTCATGAAATATTGAAATTAGTGTAACATTTTTTTAAATGTTTTTCCAGTTTAATTTTTTTCCAGAATTTTAAAAATATATTTTTATACTGAACTTTACCATTGTCGAGTGCTTCAACACACGATAACACAACGATAACAAATGTTTAAACTTCAAAACAAAGAGGGCCAAAGTATCTAAAAGTAAGAATACTTTATTATCGATAATAAAAAATAAAAATTATTTACAAGAGATTATTCGTGTGTATACATTAATATTTCTGTTCGAATACAGAAGAGGAACCAAAATTAATAGAAAAATAATATGTGATACTATCATCATTATTATTATTCGATATAAAAAACACTTTGGCACAATATGGTGGACGGGTTTTGGGGAATTTCTCTATAGCTGCCAGGGTTTGTTAAAGTAATTTCTTTCTTTTTATTGATACCCTGCATCACCAGAACCTGCCTGGTGTGTTTCACGCGCGTTTAAGCATAGGCAGACCACTGTTCATCCGAAACGGATCTGTACCCCTTGCCACTGATGGAGTACTGATTAGAAACCTGCCCATTTCCAAAATAGGCATTCTGATTGTTGAAGCACCCCACTTGAGGCAAGGAAAAGTTTGATTCGAAATTGAAAGCAGCAGTTCGATTGGCCAAGAGTGATCTCGGCTCCGATTTAACGGGTGTGGTCAAGTTGTGGTACTTGCAGGGCTCTTGAACGTCGCACGACTCACTGGTATCTTCTTGATAGTTGAAGACGTGAGTGGCACCCCCGGAGGGCATGACCTCTTCCGTACAGTCCGTGTAAGTCTGGTTATTTTGCGGATATTTTCCCAGCCATTCGCTGCAATACGACATGACACCGTAATTGTTTCTGTACGATTGAGGAACGTACTGATTGGGCAAGTACTGATCGAGTTCCGATTGATCAAAGCTTTCTATAGCATCGGTGGAGAGTTGACAGACATCGACGTGACTAAAATCGATGGGTTGGCCTTGATCCCCTGTTGTAAAAAGTAAACTCAGTTAGTGTATCACGATAAGATAATTATCACTAGAAAAGTACAGTCGAGTGCCAATACTTGCCTTGTCTCAATAGCGCCTTTTTTCGGTTATCCGTGCGATTGGGTGCATCGAGACGATTCGGGGTAGAGGGTGGCGTTGGAGGGCTGTGAGGGCTACCAGAATGTTGAGGGCTGGGTGTCGAATGGGCCGAGTGTTCGTCACTAGTAGCTGGATCTTGTTTGAGAGATCTGTAAATAATGTTTGAAAATTTATTATCCTTTATGTATACTAATCATGCGATGAGTGGATTTGATAACACTAAACGAAACTCAAGTCGGCATCTGAGGTCGGACGACCAGATGTCCTACTTGACAAACAAACACAAATTACTAAGCGTATCTAAGACATCGACTTTTTTATAGTGAAAATACCCTAGATAGGGATTTTTTTCCGAAAGTCGATAACTTTTTATGGTTCATATCTGATAACCTAGTATTTATTTATTTTTTGCGGTTTGGATAATATCAACAGATAGCCCGTTTAGGGATTTTTTCCCCTCGAATTATTGCACTAATTCAATACGAGTTATGGTAAATTAGAGTAATTCGATATTATGATGATACTGGATAGGGATTTTTTTCCAGTTTTATTGTTTCTGTTTCGATACGTAAACAGAAATAATATCGTCAGAAAACGTACCTTTTTACCGCAAAATATCTCTATTTTCTGGCGAGTTTAATGACCAGGTTTCTACAAAGTTTAACTGTAAAAATTTCCTACAGAGATCAGCAACACCAGAAAAATTAACGTGGGGGATAACAATACCAGAATATAAATAGCTCATCAGAAAAAATACTCCAGTTCAATCTGTAGTGTTACCCTCACTGATTACGAATTACAAGCAATAACAAATAGCCCAATATCAGTAGGCAGAATGTGTATAAGATAACACGAAACAGAAACAATGTCACAACAGAGGCCTTAAATCTGTTGCTTCAATTCACGAAGAGTTACTACAGGTTAGCAACACTCACCAAAATCCCCACAGGGAGAGTGGCGGCATAAAAAATCCCTGAACGTTTTCATAAACAATTACCCTTTAGGGATTTTATCTAGTGACTTTGTTTCTTTTCAGGTATTAGTAACGAAATACAAGCATAAACCCCAAGCGACACGGATGAGCTAGTGTAATAACACGCCCAGACTCTACTTGGAAATCTCGATAACGTATCTCCCTATCCTTCCAGGCCACGTTGCATCCCCTAAAAGTTGCCGAAAATGCCCTAAAAAAGGGTCTAACCCATAGTACAAACCTGTGACAACCGAGGGAAAGAAGAACCGTGGGTTAGAAGAAGACCACCCCGTCGATAAGGGTAACCGCACCCCTAAAAAAAAATTCTGACGGTAAACCCTACGTCGGTGAGATATAACAGATGTCTGTCCGCAGACATACCAGAGTTTGTGTAGTTACTGCATTTTATCACATATATGTCAAACTGTTAGCCAGTATCCCTTTTCAAGTTTTTTTTGCTCTCTTACAGGTGACCAAGGATGACCCCACGGGTGTGGTTTGCGGGATTTGATGTATTGCTGCAACTGCACTCTTTCTACTTTACTTAAAACCGAACATCATAAAAGAGAAATGGATGAACGTGCAAAACAGGTACAAGTCCTTCTCCCCCTCTTTCCACTGGATCATTTAAAGTTTACACACTTTAGCGTAACTGATATGTTGTAAGTGAATAGGACCCACCGGTTTCAATGGATCTTTCAAAGATTTTCCAGAATTCCTAGAAGTTACCACTGTGGTTCCTACGTGAGTCAATTGTATAAGTATTTAGCTGCATAGTTTTGGTTTTGTGTCGTTGTTAAGTTATTCTAAACAGGGTTCTACTGTTCTCTGTAAATCTGTGGATTTACAAGTTGGCATCGTCATTAAATTTTATGAATTTGCATACGTACACGTCCACAATTTTGTAATTTATTTGTTTATACGTTCACAATTTCGTGGATTTACATGCTTAAATGTCTCCTATTTTGTGAAATTTATCTGCTTAAATGCTTAGTTTTGCAGCTTTGCCTGTTTACATGCTCGTTTTTACAAGTTGCTAGCTTGCATGCTGGCAATTTTATTGATTTATGTGCTCGCATTTTGTAAATTTTCTTGTTCATGTGGTTGAGTTTTCGAGTTTGCTTGCTTATAAACTCGCAATTTTGTACGTCTGCCTGCTTACATACTTGCAATTTTATATCTTTGCCTATTCACACGCTCTCATTTTGCAGGTTTCTCCGCTTACCTACTGGCAATTTTATGAATCTAAATACTCTTACTTGACTTTTCACAGGGTTTACAGAACTGTTTAAAGGTTATTGGAATCATATTAATCAATTCCTATCCTGTTATTTAAGTTAATGGATATTTTTGGAAGTTGACAGAGCTCTTAACTGAAGTAATGAAAGTTTCAGTCAATCCCATTAATCAAGCTTTTTCGAGTTTTCAGGTTTAATTGAGAAGTTTTTCAGTCCTGAAAACTTTAATTAATCAAAGTTAATGAACATTTTCAGGATTAAAAATCACCAAATTTTCAGAATTAATGAAATAGTGAAAACGTTATTCATGAAAACACTTCAAGTTTTCAGTATTTTTGTTGGTTGGAATTTTAATAATAGAAAATACACCAAAAAATTTTGGTATATTTTTAGAAAATTTTCTTAACTTTTAAATGTTAAAAATTTCAAATTTTTCTAAAAATACTTCAAACCTAATTTTTTAAATAAGATATTTTAGAAAATAAGCGTTAAAGACATATTTTTCCTTCAATTAAACATTTTTCAATTGTATTTTTTGATGCTGCTGCTAATTTCTTGGATATTTCTTAAGTTCTTTTTGAATTTCAACGCTTTGTCGGATGACATATGGCTATAAAACTGTTTGAATAAGTGTAATTAAATACTTTCACCCATAAAATGCCGAAAGTTATCCAACTATCAAAGGAATTTTTTAGAAAGAAAAGATGCTCGTTTGTTACTCAATCATCTAAAAACACATTATTGGTACCAATGATGAAAGAAGATCAAAAGGTTCCGTTACTCCAAACACATGTTCGAATCACGTAGAAACCACAGGTGCAGCTGTTCGGCCTTCTTTAATTTCAGATCGTTGACCCTTCGTCGCGTTTATTCTCATCGAAGACACTAGTTTTTTGGGGTGCCATCACTCGAGAATCTGTAAAATCGAAAGGGTTCTCACCTGAATATGACGGTTGCTCCCTGGACGTGTTCGGTTGTTTGACTGTTGTTGACCCCTTTCAATGGTTTCCTACGTCTGGGTTGGTACTTGTAATCGGGGTGCTCCTTCTTGTGAATAATCCTCAATCTATCTGCTTCTTCTATAAATGGTTTTTTTTCTTCCTCACTCAGCAGTCTGAAATTAGTAATATAAACTTTGCATGATTACCCGAGTACAGTTAATACAGGTGTCATTATAATACAGTATAGTAATTTCAGTGTAAGATGGAAGTGTGTACAATTCAAAGATACTTGAACGCATATAAATATTCAGTAAGGAACAGATTCTAACTGAAAAATGTACAACAATTAGTATATTTTATGTAAAAAAAGCTCGCGTAGTTTTAATGTTGCTCATATTAAACAACACAACAATATATCATTAACATTAGCATTAATAATGAGTAAATCATTGAGTCGATCCCGCTTTACGACCTAATTTAGTTTCTAACCGTCGTAAATCGAGACGTAAGTTGTGATTAAGTTCCTGTATATGCAGTTTGTACAATATAATATATTGAGACGAAAATAAAAATATGCCAACTTGTACAATAATAACCACAGTATAACATGATTTGTGTTGTGAATGCATTAAGTGTTTTAAATATAATTAAGTACCATTATACCCGTATCATTCTGTGTTATCCAACCTTTTGATAAGTTGAAAGACTATCACGTTACATAACAGTACATAACACTTTGGGGACCTCGAACCATCGGTTGATACGATAATTAGATCCAAAATAGTATATCAAACTTTCAACGCTTCCACCACGAGTCTGTTACGCTAAAAAAAACGAACCAATGTAACACAAAATGTTACAACCGATAACAAATTAACTAGAAAAATACACATCCTTATAATGTAACAACATCGGATGGGGGTAGGAAGTTTTATAATCAAACACAATAACAAAGACAACCCTGTAGTGTTCGATTTATATTTAGGAATGTTGATAATCTATCACCTCGTCAATCGAGTAGTTACGATTACAAACATATTTTCGGAGCCAGAGAAGAGGCGAGTGTAACACATAAAGGATTGGAAAAAGTCGGCACTGCACGTGACCGTAAAGAAAAGTTGGCTTTAGGTGACACACGACCATGTGTCCGAAAACACCCTGCTGACAGATAGAATGTCGGTCGGAGCACATTATTACTTCTGAGTCGCGTAATTCACTTCACTCACCCCCCTTCTGTGCATTTTTTTTTTGTGTGTATGTGGAACTAAAGTAATATAAGGTTACATCTCTTCTATCACCAACCACCTACGCCTTTTCCTATGGAGTAGTGGTCCTCCGAAAAGTCACGTTTCGCTATTTAAAATAAACACTAACTCACTTTTTTCTTGGTTAGGGGCTATCTCGAGAGTATCCTTGACGATCCCTCATTGATAAAAGTCCCCTTTTTAGTATTAACGACCTTGATTTAAGGCTCTTTATCTCTCGATATCTGGCTAGTCGCTGTTAACCGACTTTTAGATTCTTTTAGATTTCGTGCTGCTTGTTGCAATTAATTATTTTTATGATCGTTTTAGATAATTGCCTTTTAAATTTTCGATAAGAACATTTTTTGGATCCAATGCTTAGAATATGAATGGAGTGAGGAAATTTACAGGGCATAAATCATGAAAAATTGAGGTTTTTAGTTAAATTAATTTGGAGACGATCCAATAAATGTAGCTTGTATCATCCAAAAAATCTATCAGGTTGATGGAGACATTAAATGACACAGAATTAATAAAAAAAAGTTGAAATTTTCTTAATTTAAGAACCAGTTTTGGGTGTAAAAAATGTTATATTGTCTTCCATATCTCGATAGAAAAATCAAATTTTAGTCACTTTTAATCACAAAATTTTAATCTGTACTTCACAAAACACGAGTCTACATGAAATTTCGGCACTTTAAATCGAAGATTTCAATAAAATATCTCATTGCAATAGTAAAAACTAGATATACGAAGTCGAATCTTAGTAACATCAATCAGGAGCGTTTAACCATTACAAGAAGCAACCATTCTTCACGGTTACTCAAAACAGGTAAGTAACCGAAAAATTTATTTTCTTACAAATGAATAAAGATACATTTTGATTACTTATAGAAGAAAAACCACAAATGCAGGATGTGTATACTACTCAAGCGACTGTTGACAAATATCTAACCTTTCGAGTGGACTTTAGATCCATAAACCTCACAGTTGACACAAAAGTTACCGACTTCACACAAGTTGGACGATCGTAAAGAATTTTCGTGTAAACAGTCCATCTATCGATGCTACTAAAAGTTATTTATTCGGCTCCTACGTTAAGCCAAACGTCACAAAAAATAGGATAAATAATTTGGATGTCGCGCGCTCTCCACATTCGAGACCACAGGAAACGTTACATTTGTTATATTATAGTGGGTGTGAGGTTTTATTAGTTGTAAATCATCGCGTGCAATATGATTTCATAGAAAAAACTCTGGAAAAAACTCCAACCGACTTAAAATACGATTTAATTGGGTTCACATTTTCAAACGTTGTAGAACCGTGAAGCATTAGCTGGAAGGCGAAGCTTGACGTTGGTAGCCTGTACATGATAGAAGGGAAGTTGTCTATCAGTGGCACGTGGTGTGACCCTTCATCTATCTCGAGCAAGAAGAGGCAACTGTCAAGCAAAATGTCAGAGCTAAGCTGTCCAGTGTACGGTTACGTTCCCATACATCACAGACCTGAAGCGAGATTTAAAAAATTACCTCCTGGTTGAAATCTCGCTACTACACTCTGACTCCAAAGGGAGTGATCATATTTTATTTTCTTAACTCTAGAAAAATATTTTCTTTGAACTTATGAACAGTTGTTAATTTTCGAAGTTTGACAGTTCGCTGGTATTAAATAGGAAATGTTTTAAAATCATGAAAAGGTCTTCATCGAATATTTTCCTATCGAATTTTACTTTTCAAAATTGCAATTTTCCTCGAGAAAATCGAGTAATTTCCCATCTAGCAATGGGAAAAATTCAAAACGGAAATCGTCAATAATTTCCTCTGCGTGTAAGAGGAATTTTTTTAAATTAAAATAATAAAAAATATAAATAAATTTATATGTTTTGAATGATAATTTTAGTAACTTAATAGCAGAAATTGTGTATAAAAATATCAGAGGGTGATCAGAAAGTCGCCGTATGCCTACGTTGCATTATTTGTAACACGAATCTTGCACGAATCTTGGGGTTTTCCATCAGTTTGTACAATTTTTAGAAGAGTAAGAATAGAAAAGTATAGAATGTACTGAATTTTATAAAATTTCGTTTATTTTTTATTAGATAATGAGACTAGGCCCAACAAATTCTGCAATTTATGCATAGCAAAGCATTTTAAAGCATAGCAATTTATGTTTTAAAGTCATAAAAAGTAGGCATGAAAACATGAAATTTAACAAATAATAAAAAAACGGATCAAAATTTCTGGAAAGTTCAATATTTTTTATCTTAATTTATGAGGTGCATAGCGTCATTCAACAAATAAGCTAGAAATCTGAAAGAAATTTGAATGTAGAGTATATAATTTCAACAAAAGTAGCTTTGACCCGCTAAATCAAGTGTCAAGGAGTGGTTTGGATTAGTAGAGATAGTATATGATGACATTTCACACCCTGATACTCTCTAATAAACTACATTATAAGCTATCAGTAAGTAGTACAGTAGCTACTGCTACTCGGCTTTCATCTCTAATTCAACGAGTAATAAAATAAATAACATCAAAAATTTTTTGGATTTTTTAATGTAACAAGTTCATAAATATCAATTTAAATCAATTTTTTTTAAGTATAAAATCATAAAAGTTGAAAATTTGCCTGATTTATTTTGCATTAAATCAAGTTTTAATTGCTTAAATTTTATATTTTAATTAATTTTCCAGTTTTAATTTACCTTTTAAATGATAAAAAAAATTGTATAAAAATAATGAAGTAAATTCATTTTTTATACTTTTAGTAGTAAAAAAATTTGATTTTATTACTTAATTTATTTAAAAAAAATCGGAGTTTATATGTTTATATTGCTTCTACCGAGTTAATTTTTACGATAGGACAATGTTTATTTAAATAAAATGACATAAACAGTGATTAAGCTCAGGTTAAGAAAAAAATGGAAGCGCGACAAACAAACGAGAAATGTCAAAGTTCAAATATCCAAATAGAAAAAAGGGAAAAAAAGGTGCAAGCAGTGAGAGACAAAAAGATTCTGAAGAGAATTCCCATCAAAAGATCTTGGAAAAAATGCAAAGTCCAGCTGTCTAAAGAGTTTCTCGTGAGGATGCCACGTCTACCATCTGTATCTTCGAAAGGTCATGTCTTTATTATACTTACTGACTCATGCATACTTTGTTCATAAAATACATACATACGAGAGGGACAAAAAACCGTTCTTTATAGTAATAATAATAATAAGTTGAATCACGTATGATTAATCTGCTTTTATAATTTGCCGATTAAATTTTAAATGCTTGTTGAAAAATAACTTTCATCTGTTACGCTTCTATGGGTCGGATTTGGTTTCGGTTAAGTATAATTTTGTTTTATTGTCTAATTTATCTATATGTGGGCCCATTTTTATTAAAATTTTTGAAAATAATCCAATTTTCGAGTTTGTGTCAGCCGACACCCGTGTGTTGGATGCGTTTCTAATGGTGTATATAAAATGAAATTTAAATTTTTTTTTTTGTATTAGTAATTAACATTTAAAAAAGCGCTACCTAATTTAGTAAATTAATTGCGATTATTAAATAATAAAATTAGTTAATTGTAATAATTAAATGATTAAAATACTTTCATTACTATTATACTTAACAATGTGAACTGGAAAGTGTTTTAATTATTATCTAATTCAATTAAATGGTATATTAAGTTATAGAAATTTTATTTACAATCAAAATGTCTTAATTATAATTCGAAAGCGTAGTAAAAACCATTAAGCTACAATTTCTAAACTCGGATTAAACTAATGAAATTCTAAATAATAAAGAACATTTGCTCATCCCGAAGTTAATTAGATTTCAGATTTAACGTAAATAAGTTAAATCAAACTTAACTAATTTAAATAACATTAAGAAGTAAAGGAGATAAAAAAATAATTTGTAACTGGAAACTATACTTCATAACTTATAAGGACATTACAATTCAAAGGAAGTTGCCGTGTACATAGACGATGTTCGATTAGAATACGATACGTACAATAATTTAGAGGGTGAATAAATTATGTATAATTTATTTACATTATCAATGTTGTTATATAATTTAAAGTACTTCATTAATGTATATAATTAACTGAAGCGTTGTAATGTTAATACAAACTATTTTTCTTTGGTAATTGATTGTAGTTTTATTACAACTTATTTTTTAAAGCTATAGTAAAGGGAAAAAAATTGTTTAACGACAGAGTTACGGCATTCTGTAAATGCATCTTCATATATTTATGTGAAAAGTTAATGTAAAGTTATTTAAAATTCCTAACAATGAAACGATGATTGCTTGATGCTTTTCATATAAAAAGTTATTTAAATGGTTGAGGAGTAAACTGCTGTTAATGCATAGTTTTATGTAATTATACAAGAATTTTTATCCTGACTCGTTCCTATTTATTGGCGATGTTATTACCATGATGTGTTAGTCTGGAGAGTGAGAAGGCCTCACCCTGGTCCGTGTCAAAGTTCATCATCACTAATGCGATCTCTAGGGGAAAGAACTGACAGATTTCGACAATCCCCTCGGCTTGTCACGTGACACCGTGTCTGGTGAAGTTTTACTGCGTTGCTCTGCTCTTGGACGTTAAAAAAGTCTCGTTGTTATATGAATGGTTGCTTTGGAACGGTTTTTGTTATGGTTTATATTTTTTATTTTCCATTTTATTACCTCTTTTCCAACTTTTTCTCTTATCAAGCTTTACTCAATTAGAGTGACTTCTCAATTATAATTATTAGTCATCAGTTTGTCATGGTAAGTATTGTGTAGGCGAACAGACAAGAAATATCAAATTATAATCTAATTTTTATTCATTTTTATTCTTATAATTCACAATCACGAGGATTAATATTAATTTCGATCTCTTGGCTAATATTTTCCTTTATTTTTTAATAATTTCTTTTATTTTACATTCATTATTATTCATTCTCGTGATAATAATAGCTTTTTATATGAAAATTATTTTCTAGAACTAATATTTAATGACCACGTTAATGAGCTTTTTATATATAAAACTTAATTTATTACCTTGTTTCAAAACTTCATTTTCTAAAAATTGAACAGGGAAAATTCTTGTACTTCTTTAACTTGAATAAATTATTGTACTTGCTGCATAATTTATGCTAATTACTTAAACAACAGTTTAACACTCAGAAAGGTATATTTAAATATACCATTTTTTAATTTATATTAATTAACTTTTTTTGCTTAGTATTTTGATTAAATCGAGGAAGAATCTAAGTGCAGATACCTAAAAAATTAATTTTCTTATTTAAAATCTATGATAAGATCTTAAAAACTTCTCTATTTGTATAATAAATTCTTGTAAATATGAAATAAAACTCAAGTGGTCTAGGGACATCCAACTTTGTGAAAAATTGCATTTGAAGTGGTTTGTATGTAATTGCATCTGATAATAACTGGATCAGTTTTGCGTGCTTACGTGCAAATTTATAAAACAAGATTAGAGAAAATCCGAAAAAAAAACCTGCTTAGAAGAGATAGAAAGTATAGAAGCAGACAGAGAAGCATAAGAAAGGAAAGAACAACCAAAATATAGGAAGATAGAGATAAGGATCCTGTTGACACACGACGATAAGCGGTGATGTTTTTTTAGATCGCAGGAAAAGCGGCGCCTTGGGGGCCATTGGACCTCTCCCCAACCCCCTTCTCAATGACTAACTTCAATATTGGGTGGAGCCAGTCTGGAATCGAATAAATACTGGCTTCTTCCCATCGTAACGACGACGCCTTGTTTTTATCAAAGTACAATTTTTAATATTTATGAGAGCTCATTAGTTATCCAATAATATACATAGAAAACAAATGAAGATAAGAAATTACGGATGATAGATCCGATACTTGTTTACACTTTGATAATTTGCTAGTAACTCGTATGAAACTTTGAAAGAGAATTTAGAAAATTTTAAGCTTTCATAGTAAAAAAAATAAGTAGTTTCTAGAGGAGGGGACGAACAGAATATTTGTTTTGATAAACAAGTTTAAAGAAAATTCTTTGATAAAATGATATTTTTAGAAGAATAAATCAGTAGTAGTAGATAATTTTTTTGCTCGATTTCTTTTTAAAAATTGTCACTCGTAGATTTACTGTATTTACAATTACAGGCCTTGTAATTAAATTTTTTGTATAATATTAATACTCTATTTACTGTAGTAGCACGAGTTATCTATGATAATTAGCTCTGTAAGATAAATATTTTATTGATGTTATCGTTAATGTTATTATATAAGCAGTGGTTTTTTTAGCTCTATTACTTAGCTTATATTAATAAATCTTTTAGCATTTGCACGGTTTCAGTTCCAGTTTTTATGTAACTTATATAAATTCAATATTACTGCACTTACGTTAAGAATTATAAGTTAATTAACCTGACTTACCTCCAAAGTTTTCCTAGTGTTTTGCTAAGTTCGGCATTATGAAGATGAGGATACTGATCGGCCAATTTCCTTCTTGCAGCCTGTGCCCATACCATAAAGGCATTCATGGGGCGTTTAACGTGAGGTTTACGTTTCTCCGAACTAGAAGGCCTGCTAGGTGTAGGAACAAGAGTCCAATCGTAACCTTTGAGTACCCTGGTAACTGCATCTCGTATGGTAGGTGGGAATCTCGTGTTTTCGCATCCCGATTCGGGCCCGCTATCCTCACCTTCCGTTATGGGCCTATCCGAATCGGCCTGTTCACTCTCGGGGCTACGACTGATGTGCAGATCGTGGTCAGTCATGTTCACTGCCCGCTTTGAGCTACCACTGATCTGACGAGGCGATGCTGTTTCTCTTTTGCGCGTCAGACCCCACCTCCCCCGTATCTCTGCCAGTCGTGACCACGCCAGCTGACGCCGTCTAGCGGTTAAAGTTTTGTCGAATGATTGACGCCTTCGCAGCCCCCTCTCTACTTCTTTTTTTCTCCCTTCTTTTTTCTCTTTGAAAAACTAATTTGCTTTGTTTATAACGGCTGATCTTTCCCGTGTTTACTACTCTTTGTGAAAAAAAAAGTAGCCATGGATAATGTCTTGTGTTTGATGCTAGGGAGGGTGGATTTTTGAAATTTGACATTTTCCTGCTAAGTACTGTCTACACCTTTTAAAAAAAGGAAGATTAATATTTTTATATATGTATGCAAGAAAGAGACATGTGCCGCAAACAAAAGATGGATTTTTCATATTTTTTTTTCTTTTGTGTGTGACGAAACGTGATAATTTTTCGTAAAACTGAGCTTACGGAAATGCTAAATGTGTAAAATGCATTGTAAAAATCCATTCTCGTTATTTATTCCAAGCCCCTTTGAATAATGGTTAACGGTTCTGTTTAGATTAAAATTTATCACAGGCTAAATAGCCCATTGCTCCTTATGCCACTTCCATGCATTAGTTCTGCTACATAAACGCATACTATTAGATAGCATTTCCCATCATTAGTATTGCATTTGTGCTAACAGTTTAAATAAAAACTGTGTTGCAATTGCGGCTTAACTTTGTAGGAAGTTTACAGTATCCGAGACTGATAAAAAGTTAATTTAATACGCAATTAATAGAGTTACTAATTAATAATTTACTTATCTATTTAATCATGATAATAAAGCAGATAAAATTCCAATTTCTGCTTAGTTAAAGTCGCAATTTCTTTCACTTTAAGCATTTTATTTTGTGTTTTCGTGCTGATTAATTAAAAAATTAATAGATTTTAAGCCACGACTTTCCCTTAAACATTATCCAAATATATAAAATAATAGTTAAGATACAGTAATATGTTCTTATACACAAAGCACATTACATAATACAGTAACAGCTACTGTAAGTATAATTAAGAGCAGGTTTTTTTGTAACATTAAAATAATTGATTAACACAACTCCTCGTGTTGTTTTTAAAAAATTTGAAATCCAATTGCTCCTTGATCCCCACGTTAAAATTGTCACATAATATACGAGCTTAGTTAAACTCGGTCCTATTAGTCAGATTTAAGTGGTCACGGCTAGAGAGGGTCGCGCCAGAAGGGCTCAAAGCGCCTGTTTAAGTATAGTTCAGGAACTATAAGAATAATGAATGGTTACGTTCGAACGCATTAAAGTTAAGTTACGCTCGTATTTAAATTTCGAACATCTTAATCAGATTTTGATCCCGGATTAAATCCACAGCTATCTCTCTAATTATAATCCAAATTTGTGTGTGTGGTGTGGCATGGTGTGTATATGTGTGTGTGTGTGTGTGCGCGCGTACTTTCACGAAAATTCCTGTAAGGTAAGAAGTGCTTGACCTGTGGTGAAGCAAAAAGGTATGATAAACACACCAGGAAGCTGATATATCGTTAACATAGTTTCGTAGAGTCATTTTCAATCTGTCCCTTCGGTGGTCATTGCACGCAATTTCTGCTTCTCCACCAGTCGTTATGGTTACTACAGATAAGACTTATTGCATAGATGATAATCTGTAAAGAACACCCCCACACAAACATGTGATACAACGAAGCCAGTCATAGTCATATCTTCTACCTGTTGTGCCACACCTCGCCTGATTTTTCAGCTTTTTAGAAGGTCATCGTTTGTCTCTGCTCTGTTTTAACTTCAGTTTACACCTGGGGACATTGACTGAGGAAGTTTGTTATACCTTTTTTTTTTTAATATATTTTTGTATGTATATATACATTATTTTTCTTCTTCGTACATAAGAATTAGTTGGATTGACACTAACTTGTTTTTTTTTAGATTTAGGAATAAATCCTTTCCTCCTTGTTAAATTTAAATCGAATGATGAAGCGGAAAATACATGTTTTATGGGGAAAAGACATAAAAATAGTGTTGCTGGATGAGCGATAAATAGAGTTGCCAGATATTTCATCCAAAGATTTAGTTAAAAATCGCCAGGTCGATCACTAACCTTTCATTATTTTTACATCAGAAAGCTTATTTTCTTCCTTGTTTACACTAATTTAATATAGTTATAAAATAATAACAATTACTTTTCTTTCGTATTACTTAAATACTGTCGAAGTTTTTAGTCAGAGTAACGAAATTTCGGACCCTAGGCAAAACACGTGATCCAGAACCCTTGCCATTCAGAAAATAATTTTATTCATTATATTCATACAAAAACATAAAAGTTATTATACTATAACTGTATTCACTCTGTTCGCTAGCCATTTAAATTTAAATATAAAGAAATAGAAGTTTACAAATTAACTTACGTCCCCTTCAGATCCCTATTACAATTGTCTAATTTGTCCTTACTCCAGCTCTGTTTTTAAGGAAAGAATTCGAACCTTGGATAAAAATCGCCGCTAAATTCGACGATATTTTTCGCCAGACCTGGCAAACATTGTATCAGTTGATAGATTTATTTATTAATTATATTTTTCATGTTGCCAATTGTTTAGTTAAAATGTCTATTTTTAATTATTTTCAAAGAAAATATTCATAAATTTTGAAACCTTATGAATTATTAATTTTGTAAACGTTGTTGACAGAAGATTTATTTATAAATACTTACCAATACTCTATTGTTTTTATTTAATATCGAATTTTCCTTTAATTTTTTTTTAAAAAAATAATTAAATATTTTCATATACAAAGTTTATATTTTAAATATTTAATAAATATTGCTAATACTTCTATTAAAAATTTAAGAAATTCGCTATTAAAAACTTCCATATTAAATTGGAAAATTTCCCTACGTAAATTTGAAGAATATCCATTGAAGGGTATTCTTCAATGCAATTTCCCTAATCAGCAATTCATCTTGAATTTTTCTAATTTGTTCCGATATCGCAAATAAAAGTTTTTTTTTCCCTTTTAAATATGATAGGGAAATATCACCAAAATAAGAAAAGACGTCACAATTCAGTTGGAAAATATCTCCAAAGAGCTAATTTGTTTTCCACAAAATTTCCCTAATTTTATGAATAAAGTTCTTTATAATTTTCTGTTTTTTTGTTAGTGAGCTTTATAATATTTAGCATTTTTCCTTTCCGGAAATGGGATTTTGAATTTATTTCCTGTTTTCTTAATTAATATACATAACTTTTAAGTAAAAAAAATTCTTTTACAAACCTACTTACAGTGATTTTTTTCCCTCATACTTCTCGATTATTCCTTATTGAGTATAGGAAAAATAAGTTTAAAAAATGATTAGGGGAATCAATTTTCTGATTACAAATTCGCTATCTTACAAAACCAAAAGGGGTTCTCCCAAATTTTGAGCGTTTTGTAAGCTGGGAACCACAAACCTTTAGACAAGTAGAGTCATTCTATACAATATCAATGATTGAAAATTCGGTTATTTGTTATCACAGCTGAAAATACTGATGATAAGGGGGAAGTTTAGTAGTTTTTGGGGGTAGAAGAAGCCGCCCGGTCGGTTCTTGTGTGGATCATTGGTGCGTTAACCGCTTTACAAGAAAGTTGAAACACCGCAGACGATGTGGTTATCGACAACCACTTTGCTTCAGTTGGCTGACTCGGTCCTGACCTTACAGATGTCTGTCCAGCTGAAAGGGCTTACCTCCTCCTTTTCAGAATGTCATCTATCATGGAGACATCAACGACAGTGTCAAAGGTCACGGATTTCGAATACCAACACAAGCAAAATACGAAAAAGGTACTGCTCGAAAATTTTACATTAATTCGTTTTGAAGGGAAAGAGAGAAGAAGAGAAAGATTAAGGGATATTTTACTTAATAAAATACCATCTAGGGAAATTTCCCTCAATGCTTCTCGAGAATATGTAACTTGAGATTTCCTCCTAAAAATGTTTGGTTTTTAAAAAGTTCTAAAGTTTCGCTTTATCAATAAAGCGAAATGAGTTTTTAGGGAAATTTCTGAGTATGGACTTTTTTCAAGTTTCTTTTAAATTAAAGCTTCATCATTAAATTAAATAAACAAATATGACTTGGCAGTATCAAAAAGTTAATGAAAAAAAAACAAACATATTTACAGAAGTATCCTTTACAGTTTGAGAAATATTTAGAGGGAAATATAACAGAAATTTCTCTAAAAATAATCAAAATTAACATTATAACATATTCAAAATAGTTTAACAATACTCTTTAGTGTTATGCGACTCGTAATATCGCGTTGTTTATGTCCAAACGAATTGCATAATTTCAAAGAAAAATCTTGAAATCGTGAGAATATTTAAGAAAATTCCAACATTTTTCGAACAAAATCAGGGATATTTCAGTCAGATAAGGATTTTTTTTTTATAATATACTCCAAAAGCTAATGAGGGAAATTGGATAGTTTTGTAAAGTTTTGGAAGATTTAATCTCGAGATAATTGTTAGAGACTTTTGCAGTGAAACTAATTAGTGAAATTTTCAACTGAATTATGAAGGGAGTTTAAATAATTTAGGGAATTTCTTTAACTTCATTTTATTTATTTTATAAATTTAGAAATTCTTCATGTTTTGACAATAAATTCCTTTTAAATTCTAAATATATACAATGGGATTTTTATTGATTCTAGTGCGCCAATAAAGATAAATTTAACGTAAAATTTCACACTGAAATGTGGAGAAATTCTTTAGTGAGCGAAATGATTTTTGGTAACTGGATAGATCGACATTGCCCTACATTAAGTGCAGCAGTTGCATGGAACACTGCCCCACTTAATGATCCAGTGTGCCCCACAACACATAAACTTCGTTGTTTAGACCAAACTAGTCATTTTTGACCCTCATTTATCATTTAGGGCCTTAATATACAGAAAACCACAAATTTCTCGTGATAAATACGCTTAGATGAAAGATTAAATTGAAGTGTGAAGGTGCAAATTCATGCATCTTAAACATACAAGTTGCATGCTTTGAT